CCCTTCTTCTATTTGTTCTTTTTCAGCTTCATTTTTAAATGCTCTTGGGATAGTCTCGCTTCCCTGGCCCTCATGCTACACTTTCTCTCTATTGGTTCTCATGATTTTATGAGCTGATACTTCTCATAAACTCCCACCATCCTCCCCTTCAAGGTTTGGCATGTGCATTAATATTCCAAACTGGAGTGGTCCTTGGTTGTAAGGAGAGCACATTTTTGCTAGCTATGGGAAGTTCTAGTTTTTTTTTAAATCTTCCTTATTAAAGGCATTTGCTTTACATCATATAAACTATTAGAGGAAATGGTAGTAGCCTATATTGATATCACCTTTATCCTATTTTTTTTTTTTAGTAATGGTAACTTATTTAAATAGATCGAGTTGTAACTGTTTTGAATTTATTCAGTTATCTTCTCATTTTTGTTCATCTAATTTGGTGTTGATTTTTTTTTCCTCTAAAAATTTATGATTTCACTGTATGCAAACAATTCATTCATAGATGACTCTTAAATTGGTAACTAGTTATGTCAGATTTCTTAAGTTACAGTCAATTTTATCTGTAATGGGGATAAGCTAGAAGCCTTCCCAACAAGATCAGGGATGAAGTAAGGATGCCCATCATACCACTACTATTCCATATTGTACTAGGAATGTTAGCTATATCATTAAGAGGAGAAAAAGAAATTGAGAGAATTAGAATACATAATGAGGAAACAAAATTGTCACTCTTTGCAGATGGTATGATGATATACTTAGAGACTCCTAGAGAATCTGCTGAAAAACTAGTTGAAATAATTAACAACTTTCAGCAAAATTGCAAGATATAAAATAAACCCACATAAATCACCAGCATTGTTGTATGCTACCAACAAGTCCAGCAGGAAAAGATAGAAAGAACAATTCCATTTAAAATAACCACAGACAATATAAAATACTTGGGAGTCTACTTGCCAAGACAAACCCAGGAACTATATGAACACAGTTACAAAACACTTTTCACACAAATAAAGTCAGATCTAAACAATTGGAGAAATATTAATTGCTCATGAAATGACAGTTCTGCCCAAATTAATTTACTTATTCAGTGTCATACCAATCAAATTACCAAAAATTATTTTATTGAGCTAGAAAAATAACTAAATTCATCTGGAAGAACAAAAGTTTATGAATATCAAGAGAATAAATGAAAAAAAAATGTGAAGGAAGTTGCTTAGCCATAGCAGCTCTCAAACTGTCAAACTTTGATTACAAAGCAGTAATCATCAGCACAATCTGGTGTTGGCTAAGAAATAGAGTGGTGGATCAGTAGAACAGATTAAGTACGTAATACACAGTAGTAAATGACCATAGGAAGCTAGTGTTTGATAAACGCAAAGATCCAACCTTTTGAGACAAGAACTCACTATTTGACAAAAATTGCTGGGAAAACTGGAAAGCAGTCTGGCAGAGACTAGAGATAGTCCAGCATCTCATACCATGTCCTGAGGTAAGGTCAAAATAAGTGCGTGCTGTAGACATAAAGGGTGAAATCATAAGCAAATTAGGTGAGCATGGAATATTTAACTGTCAGATCTGTGGATAAGGGAAGAATTTATGACCAAGTAAGAGATGGCATTTTGGGATGTAAAAGAGATAATTTTAATTACATTAAATTAAAAATGTTTTGCACAAACAAAACCAATACAGCCAAGATTAGAAGGAAAGCAGAAAACTGGAAAAAAATTTTATAGCGAGTGTCTCTGATACAGGCATTGTTTCTCAGATATATAGAGAACTGAATGAAATTTATAAGAAAACAAGTCATTCTCCTTTTGATAAATGGTCAAAGAACATGACATACAGTTTTTAGAAGAAGAAATCAAAGCTATCTACAGTAGTATGAAAAAATGCTCTAAACCATTATTGATTAGAGAGATGCAAATTAAAACAACTCTGAAGTACCACCTCACACCTATCAGATTTGCTAATATGACAGAAAAGGAAAATGACAAATATTGGAAGGGAAGTGGAAAAATTGAGATGTTAACGCATTGTTGGTGGAGTTGTGAACTGATCCAACTATTCTGGAAAGAAATTTGAAGCTATGCCCAAAGGACTACAAAACTGTGCGTACTTTGACCTAGTAATACTAGTAGTAGGCCTGGCTCCCAAAAAGTTAAAAATAGAAGAAGGACTCATAGGTACAAAAATATTTATAGCAGTTCTTTTCGTCGTGGCAAAGAATTGCAAATTGAGGGGATGCCCATCAATTGAGGAGTGGCCAAACAAGTTGTGATACATGATTTTGATAAAATACTATTGTCCTATAAGAAATGACAAGCAGGATGCTTTCACAAAAACCTGGAAAGCCTCACACACACTGATGCAAAGTGAAATGAGCAGAACCAGGAGAACATGGTACACAGTAATAGCAATATTATATGATGATCAACTGTGATTGATTTCACTATTCTCAGCAATGCAGTGATCTAAGACAATTCTGAAAGACTTATGATGAAAAATGCTATCCATCTTCAGAGAAAGAACTGATAAAGTCTGAATGCAAATTGAAGCATACTTTTTAAACTCACTTTTTCTTTTTTGTTTTCTCTGTGTTTTTTGGAAACATGGTTAATATGGAAATATGTTTTGCATGACTGCGCATGTATGACATCAAATTGCTTGCCTTCTTGGGGGGGGTGGGGTTGGGAGAGAGAGAATTTGGAACTCAAAATTAAAAAAAAGAAAGTTAATTGTTATATGTATTTAGAAAAAGTTAAATATAAAATTTTTTACTTAAAAGATAAGTCAGTTTTATTTTTTGTGTCTTGAAGGAAATATTCAGGGGTGGCTTCTTTGAGAGAAAGGTGCTTTAAGGGGAAACATTTGTTACAAAAACAAAAGGCTACGATAAAACTTTTTAAAGAAAGACAACAACCCAAATCGTTCATGCTATGTACAGGGGTGAGGCTTCTGTCTAGGCCACAAGCCTCTGGCCTCTTTGTTTTTTGTTCTGGATGTATAGTTTCCACAGTGTTTTTCAGTGCCTCTCCTCTCTTCACCTTTGTGCTGAAGTCATGAAAATTGAAGCAAATGTGGGTTTTGAGAAAACCAAATTGATTCCAATTCCATTTCGTAATTGAATCTGTTCTGTGTCACCTCCAACATGTTATAAAATTGCCTAAGCCATGTTTCTTTGTCTCTGAGAATTATATTGTCTCTACACATCTTACTGCCCGTGTACAATTAAGGGAGATCTGTTATCTCACTTACGAGTCTTTCAAGATGTGGGTGGGTGTCAGGAAGTCTGTTATTTCTGCAACACTGTCTGTCTTTCAAGAAAGTCTGGACTACTATCCATGCAGGTGGACACCACCATCGAGCTTTCCCCGGCAACATAATGGAAGAGGGGCTGTTGCTAATCCTGCATTCTTGACTTCCACCCAGTCATATTGTTTGATGCATCCTGTTCTTTGCTCTCTTGTGCTTCCCCAGACTATTGAAGGCTAGTAAGCCCTACCTTGTGGTCTTTTAACTGACCGAGGAGTTGAGACCCCTTTTATTGGTAATTGCTAGCCTTGCCAGTAAATTGAATGTGCTTGGAAGTTTGTGCCTCATTTTACCTTAATTTCATTTGGAGAGCCATATCAAAGTCTTCTTATAATTTCTCTTCATCCTCCTCTGCAACATTAGCTGCAGGTATTTTCATGGAAGTCCTTTTGCTTATGCGCCGGCCCGTGAGGTGACCACATTTTCAGTGAAAGGATATTTCCTGTTGGCGTTGGGAGTCCAACAAATTGAATTCTGTGTATTGTTTTATTTGGGAGAACCATCCTTTCATTTAGCTTCAGTCCCCTATGAGTTTCAGGTTGCATTTATAGTGAGAATGTCAGTAGTGCTGTGACTGAGTCTGCCAGCCCAGTTGTTGGACTGGGGTCTCGTATGCAGACAATTAAATGAATATGTAGAGATGGTCTAAGAATTGCACGGTTTGCTGAGTTCACAGGGAGGCACAGGCTGGTGGATTGCTTGAGCTCAGGAACTTTGGAGCTGTAGTGGAATAAAGCCAACAGAGGGTCTGCACTGGGTCTGACACCAATATGGTAAGAGAGCCACCAGACCACCTTAGGAGGAGTGAGCTGGCCGATGCCCAGGAAGAGCCCCCAAGCTGCTAGCCTGGGGCAAGCCAGAGAGATCCAGGATATTAAAACATTTTTTATTATTTATTTCTAACATTCATTTAAAAAAAATTTGAGTTCCAAATTCCCTTCAGTAAGCAAGCAAAATAAAGTGAGAAAATTATACTTCAGTTTGCACTCAGAGTTCACCAGTTCTCTCCCTGGAGGTAGATAACATTTTTCATCACGAATCCTTTGGAATTGCCTGAGATCATTGCATTGATCAGAGTGGCTAAGTCTTTCCCAGGGATCATCATTACACCCTTGCTGTTACTGTGTACAATGTTCTCCTGGTTCTGCTCACTTCACTTTGCATCAGTTCCTACAAGACAGCCAGTCTACAGCAAAACCAAACAGAACTGCGTGACTCTCCTTGTTGACTGGCAACCATTTCTGTCAGCCTGCCAAGTCCATGAAGAAACAGATGCAGGAGCATTCTTTCTTTTCCCTTCCTTCCTACATCACGGTGGTCAGAGAATTCATCATATGGGGGCCAGCCTCTGGCGGCGGGTGAAGCTCTCTCCTTAGCTGGGCCTGTTCTTGAACAGTGGATCTCAATGGCAGGGAGGATTTTCAGCTTGGTAGAAGCTGCCAAAGCTGGGTGCACCAGTGGCATAGCCCCGGAGAGGCCGGGTTCACTCGCCCTCATGGCATGGGGCAGCATTCACTGCATATGTGCACAGTTGGGTTTTTGTGGAGGTGGCTTTAGGAATCATCCACCTTGCACCGACCATATGCACGACAGCCCTCAGAAGGTCTGCTTGCTTTCTATTCATTCATTCTTTTACCAGCTTTTAATGTGAACTCTGAATCTCATGAATGCTCAAAGAGGTTTCTGATTTCTAGGGTTTCTGGACACTTTGAAATGTCTACTGAAAGACCCGGACAGCACCGTGCGGCAAAAAACAATCGAAGTTTTTAACACCATGGCTAATCACAGTGTGGGCAGGTGGGTATGATCTTCAGGCCTCTTTTAGTAATGACTGTTGGTTACCGAATGTCAGGCACAGTTTGTATTTCTAAAGGAAATCAAAGAATGGCGGTAAGAATGCGGGATTTGGGGTCAGAAGAGCAGGTTTGGCTCTTGGCTCTTGTCTTGTTTCTTCCTGCTGTCATGGCAGGTCCCTTAAGCTCTCTGCTTCAGGCTCCCCATCGTAAGATGAAGGACCGGGATTAGCTCGTTGGCAAGGCCCCTTCCAGCCCTGCCTGCCGTGATGCTTCCTGTAGTGTCTTCTGTCTTGAGGAGGGCTCTGTCCTCGGCACACGGCACACGGCACACGGCATGGAAAGGACATTCTGCCGTTGGCGCTGACACCACTGGGTTCCCATCTTAGCGTGGACCCTCCTGACTGTGGATGGGACTCGGGGCGAGTGACTGGCTTTTCTAAGCCGCAAGTTCTTCCCTGAAAATTAAAAGGGTCCCACCTTGCTTGTCCAACCACCTACCTCACAGGGTCCTGGGAATGTGAATGTTGGCTTTAAAGCATGGTACATGGAATGTTATTGCTTTTTATTATTGTGAAATCCAATAAATTATATTATTAAATATTCTTATTTATATATTATATAATTATATTATTAAATATTATAATTATTATATTATATTGAACATAGATATTCTAAGAGAGATGGTTGAAATGTCTTGAAGATGAGAAATCATAGGATCCATACACTTAGAAATATAGGTTACAGAGATCGTGTCCCAGACTTCTTCCTAGCCTTACATTCTGTAAAATGGCCTTCTAGGTCAGTGGTGCTCAGCTCAGATAGAAATGAGACCCACTGATCTTTGCAGAAGGATCCCCGGGGGCTGCAGTTTGAAAATGTCCCCTCACTGACACTGCATTGGATTTTTATTTCTTTTGTTAAGTATTTCCTAATTGCATTTTGCGCCGCTTTGGGCTGCAGTTGGGAGTGTTGATGCCTCTGATCTCGGCCTAGCCATCAGTTCACAGATAAGCAATTGAGCTAGAGAGTAGACAGGTGAGGTCATTTGTCCAAGGTCGACAGAAACATAGGGGTGGGACCTGTTTGGCCTGCGTTCTTTCTCTATGCTCCTTTCCTTTTTCTTCTCTCCATTTTCCTCATCCTGTTTCATTGCATGTTGCTTGATTGTGATCTTGTTGTTTTTTTTAAATGTACATTCCTCATCCTCCAGTATTAGCTGGTATCTTCCTTGAGTGCAGGGACCCATTTTTGTTACCCCAGGTCTGCCTCTGGAGGACAGACCCTTCAGTGCCTGGCTTCATACATTGTCTGCTTCAGGGTACTGAGTAAATGGTTTTTACTTGATGTGAACTGAACGGAATTCTTGAACTGAAAAGATGAAGGCTCCCAAGGCTTATGATTAAAGTCAGGAAGAGCATGGTGAGAACAGGGACAGAACAAAACCTGTTTACTTATCTATGGCATTGGCAATCGTTCTCCTGCAAAGCCTATGTCAAAGAGCCTTGTACAGACCTCTGAGCAGTCTCCTAGGTAACTTAGAGAATTCTCACATTTGTCTTGGTGATGAGGGGCAGTTATGTAAGAGTGTGTGTGTGTGTGTGTGTGTGTGTGTGTGTGTGTATAAGACACTGCCAAAGACCACCTTAGAGTCGGTCACCATTTCCCCTATTCTGCTACCTGTTCTCAAGTAGATGTGGGGTCTCAGATTATTCTGATTGACAGAAACCCGTGAGCTAAGCCTCATCATGGATACTGACCAGCTGGCGGCTCCCTGACCCCACTCCAACCCCCGCAGGGTGCCCAAGGCCTGGCACAGTGGCAGCGTGATGGAGGGGAGAGAACACTGGAGCAGAAGGCAGGCGACACCTAGTTCTGAGTTGTCTGTCTGATGCTTACTGTCTGTGGGATCACAGTGAAGTCACTTAATTTTTCTGAGACTCGGTTTTCTCCTCTGAAAATGAGGGACAATAATCTCTATAATACTTACTTCACAAAGCCTTGTAAAGCTCAAGTAACATCACAGAATTTGAGTGTTGGAAGGGGCCTCTGATACCATCCCCCCCAACCGGTATGTGAAAGCGATCCCCACTGTGCTGTGGCCAACAAGAGGTGGTCTGGCCTTTGCTTGGAGGCCTCCATCGAGGCAGCCTGTCCTGGCCTGGGCCTGACTAAGGTAGTGGCCCAGTAGTTTTGGCTCCCTGTCAGAATAGACTTAGATGGGGCAGCTAGATGGCACAGTGGATAAAGCTCTGGCCTTGGAGTCAGGAAGACCTGAGTTCAAATATGGCCTCTAGACACATAACACTCACTAGTTGTGTGACCCCGGGCAAGTCACTTAACCCCAATTGCCTCACTAGAAACAAAACAGAATAGGCTGAGACACTCAGTGTGTACAACAGTTGCAAAAAGAGATGAGCTTAGGCAAAGCAGAGCAAGGATGTTCAACAAGGATGGGCACTGAAGATAGCTTGAGTCAATTCATCTGAACAAAGCTCTCTCGCCTGCATTACCCATCCTGCTTCTCCAGTTGGACCTCCTCTCCCCTCTCCTCCCTCCACCTCCAGGTCCTCATGGCAATGAATGCTTGAGTATGGTCTGAGCTCTTAGTTCCCTGAGTCAACCAAGTCTCAAGGGATGCCTCTATATACCCCCCCTTTTTTTAAAAAAAAAATTCAATTTTATTTTGTTTCCAGTTCTGAATTCTCTCCTTCCCCTCCCCTGTCCCCCACTCACTGAGAAGGCAGGAAAGACAAAACTCTGCAAATGCATGTAGTCATGTAAAACAGACTCCTACGTTAGCCATATCCAAAAAAAGAAAAAAAAAGAAAGAAAAGGAAACTGTGTTTTGATCTGCACTCTGAGTCCATCAGCTGGAGGTGGGTCACATGTTTCATCCTGAGTCCTCTGGATTTGTAGTGACCATTATGTTGATCAGAGCTGTTAAGTCTTTCAGAGTTGATTATCTTCACAGTACTACTGTTACTGTCTACATGGTTCTCCTGATTCTGCTCATTTTACTTTGCATCACTTCACACAAATCTTCCCAGGCTTTTCTGAAACCAACCCCTTCATTATTTCTTACAGCACAGTAGCATCCATCACATTCACATGCCCCGGCTTGTTCAGCTGCTCCTCAATTGATGGGCATCCCCTGGGTTTTCAATTGTTTGTCACCACGGAAGGAGCCGCTGTGAATGTTTGTGTCCATAGGGGTGGCAGAGTGGAGAATGCAATGGACTGGGGAGACCTGGGGCTAGGAGATCCACTGGAAGGCCAGGAGAGGGGTGACGAGGGGATGCCCTCGGGAGGTGGCCATGGGAGTAGAGATGAGGGGACATTAGGAGAGGTTGTGGAGGGAGAAAGAAGGAGATTTGGCAACAGAGTGGAAATATGGGATGAGGGAGATGAAGGAGTTAGCTAACCTGTGCGAGTACAAGGATAGTGGTCGTGAATTAGAGTTTGGCCACGAATTAAAAAGTCTGTCTTTTGGATACGCCTGTGCAACAGGCGAGTAGGAACCTCCAATGGGCCCTCACTGCTGCTCTACCTCCCTAGCCCCCTCTCTACCAAGGCTCTTCCAGAGTTTTTCATCCCCCCTCATACCTCCGTGGCTCCCTCTCCTTCCACTCTCTCAGCTGAGACTCCTGAGAACCTCATGTCTTAGAGACAAAATTGAAGCCATTTGTCATGAGCTCCCTCTTCTCCCCTCTTCTTCATTCCTATCATTTAGATACTCTCTGCCACCTTCTCCTCCATCACCCCTGTCTCACATGATGAAGTGGCCTTACTCCCTACCAAGGTCAACCCCTCTACCTGTTCACACAGTCCCACTCCATCTGTCTCCTCTAACAGATTGCCCCCTCTCTCTGTCATCCTTACTCTCATTCTTTTCATTCCCTCCCAGACTCTTGGCTCATTTCCAACTGTCTGCAAATATGCCCATGTCTCCACCGTCTTCAAAAAACCCTTTTGTTCCCAGTAATTGTGGTCCTGTATCTCTTGCCCTCAAAAAGGCTGTTTACACCAGGGGCCTCCACTTTCTGTCTTCTCAACCCCTCCCTTTTTTTTTTTTTTTGGTGAGGCAATTGGGGTTAAGTGACTTGCCCAGAGTCACACAGCTAGTGAGTGTTATGCATCTGAGGCCGGATTTGAACTCTGGTCCTCAGGACCCCAGGGCAGGTGCTTGATTCACTGTGCCACCTAGCTGCCCCCTTCTCAATCTTTTCTTAATCCCTTATGATCTGGCTTCTGACCTCATCATCCCACTGAAACTGCTCTCTCAAAAATGACCAGTGATTGCCAAACCCAGTGGCCTTTTCTCAGTCCTCCTCCTCCTCAGCCTTTCTGCAGCCTTGGCCACTGTCTATTCCTCTCTTCTCCTTGAGTTGCCGTAGGCGTTCAGGACACCATCTCTCCGGGTTCTCCTCCTCCCTCACTGACCTCTCCTCTGTCTCATCCTCCAGACGCCTCTTCTGTCCTCTCTCTGTACTGCTTCACTGGGTGATCTCATCAGCTCCCAGGGACTTAATGACCAAATCTATGCTGATGGTTCTCAGATTTACCTATCTTGCTCCAACGTCTCTGCTGTCCCCCAATCTGGAATCGATAATTGCCTTTCAGACATCTCAAACTGGATGTCCAATGGACATTTTAAATTCAATATGTCCAAAACAGAACTTACTCTCTTTACCCCAGAACTCTCCTACCTTACTGTCTAGGGCACCACCATCCCCCCAGTCCCCCAGGCTCCCAATCTAGGTGTCATCTTGGACTCCCCCCCTCCCCCATATACAAGCTGTTGCCAAGTCCTGTTGAGATTTCACTTTTGCCAACATCTCTCTCCTCTGACACTGCCCTCGTGTAATGTTTGAAAAGGTTCGAGAGCTGTAGTTCCTGGGTAATTTCATCATTTTGTTAATAAATCTAGCAGGTTATGAACCAAAGGATCATCATTCCGTCATCTCTCTGAGATCAAAGACAATCATGGAGGCGGGGCTCAGT